ATTTGGATAATTAAAGTTCGATGTAGAGTGAGCCTCACACCTAATCACAATTTTTCGAAAAAAAAATGAAAATGTGTTGGATAAAAGGTTGGTCAGATGACACTCTTGCCAACTGCTATTAAAGCAACTCTAGCGTATGCTAGAGCCCGATAGATAGGCGACTTTGAAGACCCACACGCACCAGCAACAATGCTGACGTCAGGGTGGCGTCAGTCACTTTTTAATTATTTTTGCGTCAGGAGCGTGCATAACGCTCGTGCGTAGGGGTGCGTCGCCGACAACATTTCAGGCGCTGGGGCCCGCTGTGCAGACGGTAAAAATGTTACCGTTGGTGGCCACGTGGCTTTTTCTCGTCCGTTGGATTTCAATGATTACTTATTTTGGACTGTTGGATTTCCAACGGTAAATTTTTTTTTGAAATGATGACCACCTTTGCACTTCGCGGATGTGGCACTGTTTTGACAAACGAAGATCACCTTGGGTAAATGTCGTCTGCTAAGTAGTATGGCCCGTGGTACTTACGTTCGTTGACCCAGTACATGACTCTTGGTGCTTTTCCTTGCAGGACATCGTTGAACACTGGGGATTTGGCAAGGACATTAAGGTCATTTTAAGCCCCCAGAACACCCAAAAAAGCGTGCCAAAGCCATGTATCAAATGATGTTACCACCTCCAAAATGATACTTTTTGCTCATTTTCTATCCCCATAAGCTTGTTGTCATGTATTTGGACAGTTTTTCCAGGTCCATTGCATACAGTCGATGCTTCCAATCACTTAGGAAAACCTCGCATCTCGGCCTTCTTCAGAAGCCTTTGCAAGTCCATCTCAGTAGGTCTCCGGAAGTACTTTGCGATGTAGATAGATTCGATTGCAGAGCAAAACCTCATCAGGGACTCAAAAATGGTTGATTTCCCCATCCTCGCTATCTCATCCACTTGGTCTGCAGATGCTCCATATTCAAGCATCCCCAAGGCAACAATAATTTTTTGCTCAGGAATGAGACCCATAACACCAAAAGCATTATTCTTTTACACAAAGTAAGAATGATGGTTGCAAACAGCAATCATGATTTTGTTGAATAAATGTTGTTCCATTCTAAAACAACGTTTGAAGTACGTATCAGGGAATGCACTGTTACAGACAAAATAATCATCCAAGAGATCCGTACATCGTCGTTGCCTGCTTCTATTAAGGTTTGTGGAACGATTGGCCCAGAGATCTAAGCCACAGCTTGGATGACTCAACATGAATGTGAGGCTTTTTTGCTTCTTGCTTCGTCATCTCTCCTTCTACACTCCTCATTCTCTTCATCTTCCATCACATTTTCGCCCACATGGAGATTAAACATTTCTTTCCCTTGCTTAAACAATTCTTTCTCTTGCTCATCGATTTCCCACAACATCCTTCAAGAAGACATTGTAAGAAGGAAGCAAAAACTATGAATAATGATAAAGATTTTGATTTTGGTGTGTGATTTCTTAGGATGGATGGTGGGTTATATGGAGGAAAAAGAAAGGATTAGGTTGTAGATAATGCCATGTGGCATACTGTCATTCGTTAAAAATCAGATCGAAATCTATCCTCAAAGATTGTAAATATATTATGACACGTGGCGCGACGTGATTGGTTAAAAATCTTATTGGAAATCTATCATCAACGATTCTGAAAATGTAACGACACGTGGCACAACGACATTGGATAAATATCTTATCGAAATCTATCATAAAAATTTTTCTTCTCTGATAATGACACGTGGTGCAATGAGAGCGATTAAAAATCTTATCCGAAATTACAAATAAAATTATTTTATATTATTTTATAAAATAAAAAATACTAATATTTTATTACCTATTGCCATGACTATTCAGTGTAGGGGTGAAGATGCAAAAGGTAATTACTGTTCATTAAAGACAGTTACTGTTCATTAGAAGCTATTCAATAGTGACTTGTCCTAGGGCCTTTGCAACGCTAGAGTGCTCTTTTTTTTTTAGAAACAAGGAAATTTCATTCCAAGACAACAACCACCACAAATAAGGAAAGTTAGGAAGCCTGACCAACAAAACATACAAGCAAGATAGGGAATACAAAAGATGCTGCCAACCAAGGCTCACACGTTATCCCCACCCCACAGCAACCCTACCTAAGAAGGAGGGCAAGGTAAACCATCTTTGTTCAAAATCCTCACCAACGAAGATGGGGGTCTATCAACCCAGGTAGAGTCGCTCATCTCCGTTCCATGAAATCTAGCGACATAGTTTGCCTCTTCATTCCCTATCCTAGGCACCCAGGACCACACGCAGTTGATAAAACGACACCCCAACTGCCGTATACGACTTAAAATAGGGTATGTCATCCAACTACAATTTTCAACACTACCATTTAAATAAGAAACTAATTGCTTATAATCCGATTCTACCATGATTTGTGAAAAGTTGTTGAGCCAAAAGACACCCCTTAAGAATCGATAAAGCCTCAGCGACTTCAGGGCAGGAGGCGTGCACTTCCTTTCTTTGAATCATTAAATATCTTTTCCTCGAGTCTCTCACGACAATACCCACAAAACTGTTTGAATCCCCCTATTTCCAATGCACATCAACATTAATTTTTACCATTTGGGAAGGGGTGGAGACCAGGAACAGTCTTGCTGAACAGTAGACATTACATCTCGCTGAATAGTGTTTCTTTCTCTCATCTTCATAAACATAGTATAATCAAATTGAATAGCTTGTATAGTTTGCATAGGAGAAGGAGGTTTGAGGTTAAAAATAGACTTACAGCGGTATTTCCATATGTACCAGCATGTAAAGGCCAACAAAGACAGAATTTTCGCCCTCTCCGCCTTATCCCCAAAATTCTCCTTAAACATTTTAAAAAGCCAAACATCAAAATTAGTAATAGAGCTCTTATCAACTCTAAAATTCAAAGGGCCACCAAACCAAACCATATCAACCCAAGGACAAAAAAACAAAAGATGTTCAACATACTCCTCACACTCGTTGCAGATTAGACAGACGGGAGACAGGGCACACTTCTGCTTAAAAAGATTCAGCTACGTTGCTAAAGCACCCTTGATTCCTCTCCATAAGAAATGTCGAATTTTTGGAAGGGCCTCCACCCTCCAAATCCCATGCCACACCGCTGGATCAATATGCCTGGAAGAGGAATGTCAAGAATTTCATCTTCTCTCATGATTTTTCCGAAGCCACCTTTAGCCCAATTTAACAGTATAAGCCCCCTTCCTATCCACAAGCCATATCAACCTATCCTCCCACTTGGAATCACCCACCTGGATATTAGAGACTTCCATACAGTCCTCTTCAGATATCAAGTTATGCATAGACTCCAAATCCCAACTACCACCCACCATGTGAATAACAGAAGCTACGTGCATTTCTCTGTCCACTTCTACTCCACTAGGAGGTTTTGGGTGACCACAGTCAATACTTGGAACCCATTTATCAACCCAAAATTTTATTTGATTACCACTCATAACTTGCCATTGCATATCCTTAAGCAACAACTCCCTTCCTTAAAGCAAACTGGACCAAATCCATGAAGCCCGCCCACCCTTTTTAGCTTCCAAAAATGAAACATGTTATAAGTATCGCTCCTTTAAAACCTGGGCCCATAAAGAATTTGGATCATGAATTAATCTCCAACATTGCTTGGCAAGATGAGCGACATTAAACTCTTTTAAGTTCCTGAAACTCATTGCCCCTTCACATTTTGAGTACCCCATATCTTCCCAACTAATCCAGTGAATTATTCTTTCTTTTTCTTGTTGCCCCCACCAAAATCTTGCAAGAGCAACATCAATTTCATTGCATAAGGTATTCGAGAATTTAAATATATTCATTGGGTACGCAGGAACTGCCTGAGCAACGACCTTAATCAGTACCTCCCGCCCCGCTTGAGAAATGAACTGTTGTTTCCACCCTTTGATCTTTCTAAAAACACGATCCTTAACATAGGCCATTGCCTCTTTTTTGGAACTTCCCCAATCTGTTGGAAGCCCTAAATACTTCCCTAGGTCCTCCACTTGTGGCATATTCAAAATGCTGCAAAGATCCTGACACACCTCAACTAGTGTATTAACATTAAAATAAACCACAAACTTTTGCAAACTAACCTCCTGGACGGACGCATGACAGTAAGCATTAAGAAGATTCACAATATTCTGACAATTGTTCCTTGTGGCTTTTAGAAAGATCAGAGTGTCATATGCGAATAAAAGATGAGAGAGGCATGGCATGATAACATTGATCTGAATTCCTTCAACAAATCCCACATCAGAAGCATATCTAATCAGAAGTGATTGCACCTCACTGACAAGAGGAAATAAATAGGGCGAAAGTGGGTCACCCCGCCGTAAACCCCTCGTCGACTTAAATCTCTCTCCCTGATGACCATTAATCAAAACCGAGAACTCCACTGTAGTAACATAATTCATCACCAAATTCACCCAATTTCTATCAAAACCCATCTTCAACATAACAGCCTCCAAGAAGTCCCATTCCACCCCCTTATTCATATCAAGTTTAATTCCCAGGTCATACTTTAACTTCGCCTTCCTGAGTTTAGGGAAATGGAAAACTTCATGGGCAATGATGATATTGTCTTGAATCTGTTTTCCTTCCAAAAAAGCATTCTGAGAAGGAGAGATAATATCATAATATCAGAAAGTAGGGGTTTAAGCCTATTTGTTAAAATCTTTGAGAGCACTTTATAGGAATAATTACATAGGTTAATTGGTCGAAAATGGCTCACTGATTATGGATTAGGAATCTTTTGAATTAAGGCAATATTAGAGGAAAACTAATGAAAACTGAGTTTTAACGATAAAAATAAAATAAAGGGTAAAATAAATAGTACAAGGATTGATTTTTTATGTAAAAATGTTGCTTTTTGTTAAATTGAATAGTACCGTAAATTTTTTGTTAAAGTTCCGATATTAGTGGAATTTAACGGTTTTAAACAAGTTCCTCCATTTAGAAACTCTGCTGCCAAACCTTTAATCTCCGCTTCAATAATATCCCAGTAAGATTGAAAAAACACACCTTGGAATCCATCCGGCCCTGGAGCTTTCAACCTTCCCATCTGAACCACAGCATCTTTAATTTCCTCATCCGCCAAAGGTCGAGACAACATTTCATTCATCTGCGCCGTAACCACAGGTTGAACACAGTCCAAAATATTTCCCCAGTCACGATGCCCATTTGAGGAGAATAAATTAGAAGAGTTTAAACTCAACTCCGTTCACCTACTAGAAAGATAAATGGAGAATCGCAGCAAAAGAAAAAGAAAGCCGGAATCCGACGACATTAGCGACGACACCGCCTTCGCCGTCGTGCTGGCCGCTCTCTCATCTCTGAACCCCAACTCCCTCCGACCCTTAATCAATAAATGCCTAAACAAACTCCACCACTCGATCACCGATCCCACCCTCTCTCTTCTCCCAACTCTCCTCACTTTCAACTCTCCTGCAATATCTCGCCGTGCCGCTGAGATGGTGGGGTCCGCCGCCCTGGAGTCCTTGGACATGAACCAGAGGATTGCTTCCGATGCTGACATAATCAATAGCTTGCTCTCCGCATTGGCCAGCTCCAACACTGGCGTCTCAGTGGCTGCCTGCAATGCCCTTCTGGATTTGTGCACAACTGGTTTCGGACGGCGTCGTTTGCTCGATTCCTATGCGCTTCCCAGGATTCTGTGAGTGCCCAACATTTTTATTGTCATACCCAACTATTTTGCTTTCCATTGTTTTTCATTTACTTGGCTTGTCATGTGATAGGTTTTTAGTTCTGGGTTTCTTCAGGTTCATAAATCTTTGGAAAATTCAGTGTCTTTTTGCTCTGTTTCTGTGGATAGTGGAGGAGTTATCGCACCAAAAATCGGGTTTAAGGGAGATGAACTTCCAGTGTTACTTCTTAGTGCTGCAGTTCTTCTCATCAATACCTGTAAAATTGAGCAATTGGAGAACATCCCAACAAACCTCTCTCATGTTTTTTTCGCCTTCATGAGAAATCTGTGGGTGAAAGTGCGGAATGAAATGGTGTTCGAAAGCCAATTAGAGTCCACCCAAGGGGGGCATTTACATATTAGCAACATTAGGATTAGTGATATAGCCGAAACCCTTTTTAGGCTTTCCATTTGTGCCTCTCAGCTTATCAAGCCTTTGCCTTTTCATGTGGTTGAAAGGGGTATATTTGGATTCTCTGAGTCTGGTTTTAAGGATTTCATATCAAATCAGTGGGAGGTGTCACCCTTTCTTGTGCGGCGTGGGCATCCAGAAGGGGATTTAGTTGAGGAGAATGATAGTTTTGGACCATTTGTACGATCTCTAAACACAACGGGAGCATTTCCTTCCTTTCTTTCTTCTATGCTTCCGAGGATGGTTTCTTGTCTTCCTATTGCTTCTGATGAATTTAACATCCTTACTTTCCTAGGGGAGGTGAAAAATAAATTGGGTTGCCCTCTAACCTACCAGCAGGACATTCGGGTTCTAAGAACAGACGGCCACCTAAAGAGGGAGGAACATTTTTTTCTGAACAGTTTGAACTCTTGTTGTACAAAGGATCCTCATTATCTTGGTGTCAAAGATGTTTTCAAATGTGAAGAAGCATACAAGGAAGGTTATACAGTTGCACTGCGTGGAATGGAGTTCCGCTTTGAGAGCGTTGCTGCTATTGCAGATGGATTGGCATCTCTTTTTGGTCAACCATCAATTGGTGCCAATATGTACTTGACACCCCCTGATTCTCAGGGTTTGGCTTGCCACTACGATGACCATTGTGTGTTTGTATGCCAACTTGTTGGGACTAAGAAATGGAGACTTTATCCTCAGTCAAATGTGCATTTACCTCGCTTGTATGATCCTCTTGATCGGCTACATGCTTCAGAAGTGCAGAGTTCACCAGCTGAATGCAAACAATTTTTGCTGAGAGAAGGTGATATTTTGTATATTCCCAGAGGTGTTCTCCATGAGGCATGCACCGAGAATGTTAGTTTTGATGGGTCTGATGGCAATTCCTTACACCTTACACTCGGTATTGAGGTTGAGCCTCCTTTTGAGTAAGTATGAGTAAAATATAATCTATTGTTAATGATCAACTTTCTTAATTGCTACCGCTGTGGTTTTTTTGGGTCAAATATGTTCATGAAATGACTTTCTAGTCCCATGCATCTTTAGTATGTCAGATCAAATATATTACCATCTGTTACCAATCACAAAGTCTTGACCAGGTGTTCTACCCATGTGATTTAAGATATCCTTGGTCCTCATATTGTGTATTTAGGAATTTACTTGTCTAATTAGTTGATTATTAAAATTAAAAAAAAATCAGAAGGGTATGATTTTTGGCATAGTTTACTAATAAAATATTTCCAAGTGGGATGTTGGTAGTGTAAGTAAACTTATAGGTACACGATTCAGTATCGTGCAGAGTATGTGTGCAAGTGATATATGACGAAAGCATATGGATAGTTTTAACTTATTTTTCACCCTCTGATGTGGAACATTGAATATTTTGTGGATATAAGGGAATGCTGCAATATTGACGCTGCAATATACATTATCTACCAATTATAGATAAGATATGAAGAGATTGACCTCTTCTAACTGTCTTGTGGGCATGAACAATATCTGTTGTGATAATGTCATTTGTATACTTTTATGACATCCTCTTCATTTTAATTTAATAGAATCTCCAGAATGCTCAATGAATGAGTAGTTGTTGTCTAGAGTCCTGTTGACCGTATCCCTATCCACTTAACCCCAAAAGCTGTCATCGACTCCTAAGCATTGTGTGGGGGAAATATTGAACAGATAGGGAGCTTGGTCTATAAATTATTGAGTTCACAACACTTGGGTAACTGTAACACAAAATTAGTCAGTTACACAAACTACTTGAATTGTCTAGAATTCAAGGGCTTTCTCGGTCTGTTGAAGTTTAATTTTCTAGTGTTAGCATGTTATCAAAGCAGGTTGCTCGCGTGTTGTTCCTAACTGCCCACATGTTCCCACATCACACAATATGGAATGTCCACGTGTAGTCTTAGATGACACCAGAAGTGAGGGGGCATGTTGAAAGTATCAGGGGATTAAGAACCTTAAATTTTCTTATAAGGAGTTGGCTTACACCCAAAGATGTTTCAAAGAAGAATCATTTTAAGCAGTCAAAAGATATTTTTAACTATACAAAAGATTAAAAAATTCTTTTGACTGCTTAAAATGATTCTTCTTTGAAACGTCTTTGTTTCTGAGGCTGAACAATGCATGTGGGCTGATCCACATTTGTGACCATATCATATGGTGCTGAGTAATAGACATCTTTTTTCTACAATCCATATCATCTGGTATTGGTTGGTTATGTATGTAAAATTAGAAATTGCCCTTACTTTTTGATTTCTGAAAGAAAAAAAACCTTCAAGTAAGATGTAAAAAATTCTGAACTCATAATCGAATTAACATTGCTAGACTTCTGACATACTCTGGTTCTCATTGTGTACAGGTGGGAGGGATTTGTTCATGTTGCACTCTTCAGTTGGAACCAGAACCAAAAAAAAGCTCATAACCTTTCCGAGTATTCATCTGGAATTATTCATGATATATCTGTGAATTTGTTGCACGCTGCTATTGTGCTGATTGGCGATTCTGATTCTACCTTCCGGAAGGCTTGCTTGGTTGCTTCGGTTTTTTCGCAATCACATATCCATAATTGGCTTGATTTAAACCAGCGAATTATTTTCTGTCAGTTGATTGACAAAATTAAAATAGAGTCACAGTTCTTGAAAGTGTTCAGGAATGTAGAATTAGCAATTCAGAAAAGCGAAGATCCTTTCCAACGAATTAGATGGCTTGGGTTTCTTAATACGGAGGAGGAAAGCAGTCCAAATTGTGAACAGAATATGCATTTGATGGGGATGAAAAACTTGTTCACATTGTGCAGTCAACATAAAGGCAAGGTGGAAGCTACATTCCAGCAGCTAACATCTAGGTTTAGTAGTGAGGTGATATTTGATGATGCAATAGAAAGGTATAAGATACTGCTAGAGACATATAGAAGGGCCAGAAAGCAATATATGAATGGGATGGTTTCACTGCATTATGAATTATGAGTTTAGAGACATTCGCTTCCTCCTCTCTGTTCATAATTATAGCTAGTTCTGACAGTGTGAGACCCTGATGGAAGGGAATGAATCAGCTCCGTCTTGCACAGTGGGATCTGATTCATACGTCAATGATCCAGCTTTATACCTAATGTAGCCAGTTTACGGTTAAAGTGCCATTCTATAACCTATGGCTCAAGGTACGTCATACTTCACTTGTTGACTTGGTTTATTCTTGTGAACAAACAGCTATGTAGGTAGAGTGAAATGATGAAAAGAAAAATGAATTCCGCAACAGTATTAAAGACAACTTTAATCAAGTGTTCCTTCATGAGATATATATATATATTTTTAATGAATCCTTCGTGAGATATATAAGTACATCATATCTGCATACATCTCAGTCTAGAAGGTTCAGTACCGGTCTATGGTGTGGGATGTCTGGGTGTTGGATTTGGATGAGTAGTCACTCCATGATAATCAATATGATAAACAAGCTCGTCTAAATCATTGTTACTGTTTGCATGTTTGATTGCTAGTGGAATTTCTTTGACTTTGGATGCTTCTAACTCTCCATCTTCATCAATGACCTACATGTAACACAACCTCAATGATGGTTTTGGATAAAAGTAGAATACGAACACAGCATCTATTAAAAAAACTTCAAAAATAGAATCAGATGGTTTCAGGCTACAAACTTGATGTGAAATTACAATGTTTTCCGTCACTAAAGCAGACTGTTCAGGAAGAACTGAACATTATGATTGTTAACTCATGTATTGTGTGAAAAGAAAGACTGACATGCTCGAACAGGATTCATTTGGCATGTTATGTGAGAACTGAAAACAGATATGTTTTGGACCCTTTTTGAAAATAGTTGAAGTCACGTTGCCCTTACTCAAAATTTTCTGAATTGCATGAAAACTTGGAATAAAAACATTATGCATCAAATATATATATATAAAAATAAATAATAATAATAAAAAAAACCCTACCTTGAACTTTTGATATTCATCTTTGTTGTGGGTCAATGACATGCTTAATTTTCTAGCCGGTCGTCTTCCTGGGAGAGAAGCCCGTGAAGCGGAATTGATCTTGTGGGAAGAAAGATAGAGACCTGTTATAAGGAAACAGAAGATGACGATACACAAAGATTTCATCATTTATACAGCTGAAATGAAAAGCTTCCTATACTTAGAGCAGTTCCAACGTGGGAACACCCCTCCCCCCCAAAAAAAAACCCCAAAAAAGGCAATACACTATGCTATCCACCCAGTGAACAGTAACTGTCCTTAATTAACAGTAATCATCTTTTGCATCTCCACCGTTGCATTTCAATAGCCTTGACAATAAGCAATAAAATATTAGTATAATACAAAATAATTTTTTTTGTAACTTCGAATAAGATTTTTAATCGTTCTCGTTGCTCCACTTGTCATAATCCGAAAAAAACAATTATTGGTGATGGATTTCCGATAAGATTATTAACCAATCACGTCGCGCCATGTGTCATAATCTGTTTACAATCTTTGAGGATAGATTTCCATTAGATTTTTAATGAATGACGGCATGTCACGTGATATTATCTACAACCTAATCCTTTCTGAATTCTCCATATAATCATCCCCCATGCATCCTCACAAATCTCACACCAATTTTCTTAAGATTTCTATCATTATTCATAGTTTTTGCTTCCTTCTTCACCAAAATTCATAGTTTTTGCTTCATTTTTACAATGTCTTCTTCTTCAAGGATGATGTGGGAAATCGATCAGCAAGAGGAAGAATTGTTTAACCAATCAAAAGGAATGTTCTCCAGGTGGCCCAAATTGAGAGGGAAGAGGATGAGGAGCGTAGAAGGAGAGATGACGAAGCAAGAATGGGCAGAGTCTTGCATTCCCGTCGAGTCATCTAAGCTGTGGGTCAGATCTACAGGCCCAGCCGTTCTGGAAACCTTGATAGAAGCAGGCAACGACAAGCTACAGGATTCTTGGACGATTATTTTGTCGTAATAGTGCATTCCCTAATATGTACTTTAAACGTCGTTTTAGAATGGAACGACATTTGTTCAACAAAATCATGATTGCTGTTTGCAACCATGATTCTTACTTTGTGCAAAAGAATGATGCTTTTGGTGCTATGGATCTTCTTCCTCATCAAAAAATTATTGCTGCCTTACGAATGCTTGCATATGGAGCATCTGCAGACTAAGTGGATGAGATAACGAGGATGGGGAAATCAACCATTCTTGATTCCCTGATGAGGTTTTGTGGAGCAATCGAATCTATCTACACTGCAGAGTACCTCTAGAAACCTACTGAAATGGACTTGCAAAAGCTTCTAAAGAAGAACGAGATGTGAGGTTTTCCTAGGATGATTGGAAGTATTGATTGTATGCACTGGACCTGAAAAAACTGTTCAAGTGCATGGCAAGACGCTTATGGGGAAAGAAAAGGATAAAAAAGTATCATTTTGGAGGCGGTGGCATATTTTGATACATGGATTTGGCACACCTTTTTTAGTGTTCCGGGAGCTCAAAATGATCTCAACGTCCTAGTCCAATCCCCAGTGTTCAACGATGTTTTGCAAGGAAAGGCACCAAAAGTCACGTACTGGGTCAACGGACGTATGTACAATGGGCCATACTACTTAGTGCATTTACCCAAGATGGTCATCGTTTGTCAAAACAGTACCACATTCGCAAAATGCAAGGGAAAAACAGTTTGCGAGCTGTCAAGAGGGGTGCAGGAAGGATGTGGAGCGTTGTTTTTGTATCCTCCAAGCTCGATGCGTGATTGTCAGGGGTGTTGCCAGAATGTTTGATGTAGAGTCACTTCGATCCATCATGATGACATGCATCATTCTTCACAACATGATTGTGGAAAGTGAGTACGATTATGATGCCATTGATGAATATGAGTTAGACACGATGAACAATTCAAGAACATGTATATATTCTGCTCATGATGTCACCGAAGAACCCGTGCAACATGAGCCATTAGAAAGGGATGAACGTTACAATGAATTGGTCATTCAACAATATACTGCACTTCAAAGGCCATATATGCACAATGCTCGGCAAAATGACTTAATAGAGCACCAGTGGGCATTGAAACAAGCTGCAGATATTTAAGCTCATTTAATGTGTTTGTTTTTATTTGATGTGTTTATTTAATTTTAGTTGGTGTGTTTTTTTCAGTTCATTTTTAGTGAGTTTTTTATTATTTGGTATGTTTATGTAATTTTATTTGGTGTGCTTTTGTCATTTGAATAAATATTCTCTTAGTATAAATAATTTACCAAATTAAATAAATTTACTCACTTTAAATAAAGTACTAAATTCAATAAATTGGAAACAACATAAAGTACTCTATTCAATAAATAATAAATGATAACCCAATGTGATTGGAAAATTATGGGCTCCGATTACAAAAACTACTCTATTCATCATCACTTAACCAATTTGTGGTGCGAGGATGATCTTCTCTTGTCGTGTTAGGATCATCTTCTCTTGCTCTCACTTCTCTTGCACGCCTCCTTCGCACCATGTTCATTTTCTCCGACTTCCAAAAATATTTAGAATTTGGAGACTTTCCTTTAAAGGCGTGTTCATAATTTCACGATCTCGTTGAGCCCTTCAATTTTCTCTAACCTGTTTCCTTTCTTGCCTAAGTAACGCTCTTTCTCTCTCATTAGCTTGAAATTCTCTCTCAACAGCTGCAGCTTTTGCCTCATCTCTAGCCTTATCAGCCTTAAATTTCGCAATTTCCAGTGCCAAAGTCAATTCACCTTAGCGAGCAAGTTCGTCTATGTACTTTGCATATTCATTCTTGGAAGCACTCCCTTTTCTCTTTGAAGCCTTCTTACCTTAAGGCCTAATTGGATAACGGGTCAAACCTGACGCTTGTTCAGGGAGGGGCGTTTCGGGCACTTCTTCTGCATCATCTTCATGAACATGTGAGCCATGATCGGGTGTAGAGTGTAGATGAGTGCTGTTCATGAAAACTTCTGGACCAACAGGCACAACTCTGAATTTAGGACAATCTTTGACAATATTCCAACATTCTCATCGGTTGAATGATTTATTTTTGCTTTTGGTTTTGGCACCAAACCAAGTTTTGTGCTTGAAGTTGCTACACAATGTGGGAGAAGAAATAATTATAATGAAAGTAGGTAACAAATAAATAATACAAACAAATAATTATAATGTAAATTTGGGTATAGTACAAACATATAAATAATATATTGTTACCTGATCCGCGTAATTTTCCTCACTTCGAATATTAGTACTAGCTGATGTGAAAATTAACTTGACACACAAATTAAACCCTATTGATGACAATTGTAATAATGATGCAAGTATGGATCTTCTAGACCGGGGATTAACTAGGGATGCTAATCAACACAAATAAGACTAAAAAACACTAAACTAGACTCTATAGACTCAAAACTAACTCAAAACACTCAAAACAGCAAATAACAATAAAAAAGACTCAATTCTAGACCTAATAAGTGATTTGGACGAAAATAGAACTTTAAAGACTCAAAAGACTTAAAGGAAACAAGTTTTTACTCTAAAAACAAGACTTAAAAGCAAGGGGTTTGGTTTTGACGAAATTGAAAGTTAAAACCAAGGAAGAAAATATCAGTAATATCGGAAATATCGGTAGTCTGAAAACACGGAAATATCGATGGAAATATCGGGATAATATCGATATCGATAAAAATTACATGGAAACCATGGAAATTGTAAGAAAAACTTGGAAATTTTTAATGAAACTTTGCAGGATGTTTATTTAGTCAATTATCTATTAGTTTATCACAAAAAATTGAAAGGAAATGCATTGCATGATGGATTTAACTGATTTAAGTTGATTATATAGCGAGCTAGCAAACATTGTAAGTGTAGAAAATATGTAGTAATTAATGAAAGAAGTTTAAACACACCATAATCATTTATATATAATTAATTAGTACAATATTGGGAGGTTTTATTTAGGATATTAAAAAAAAAAAAGGAATTGAATAAAATGATGAAGAATAATGTGCCGAATTTGACACTTTAAATTTCTTACACATAAGCATGCGTCTAGGCGTTGAAGTTCCAAATTATAGTATATCAATTAACGATTGAAAATCAATAGGTTGAATAAAACTAAACTTTAATTTGGATGCCGATTATGTTTTTTTAAGTTTATATAAAGTAAAAGAATTGAATTTTGGAAGCCAAGAGTGTGTCAATTGTTTTATAATTCGTCCGGTCAAACCACGGCGAGTTGGCCGGCGTACAAGGTATCAATCTCTTCGTCTCGTCGAGTAGTACAACTTTCCTTTTTGTTTCACTCAATTTCGTTGAGTATTGAAAAAATTATACTCATTTGAATCTTACCCAGTTTCCGGCGACCGCAGTGACTTTCGAGGCATTTTCCGGCCAAACCACGACGAGTCAGACGTCGTGTGAGGTACCATTCTCTTCGTCTCTTCGAGGGCTACAACTTTCGTTTTTGTCTTGCTTGATTTCGTTGAGTTTTGACAAAGTTATGGCCGTTTAAAGTGGGTGTAAATTTTCGGCCGAAATTCTGATTTTCTCTCCCATTGGGCGAGTCCCACATCGCCCATGCGAGGACAGTGAGCAATCATGAAGTCCTATAAAACCCACATTCCCTTGCTGGGAGAAGCATAGCTTGTTCGGCTTTTGGGCTATGATCAAGTGAAGTCTGTGTTGAGTTTTCTCAACATATTTAAGTATTTTTTAGTATTATGTTGCGATATTATCGATAATTTCGAAAATATCGCAATATTATCGATATTATCGATAATATCGTGATATTTTAACAAAATCGTTTGGATAGTTAAAAAAAATATCGAACTTCCAAAAAAACGATAATATCGGCGAAATATCGCCGATATTATCGATTTTTTCTTCCATGGTTAAAACATAAACTTTGAAAACAAACTTAACAAAAACGATTTTGGATGAAAAAGAATGGTGAAAGGCTAGTTAGAGGGTTCCTTCTCCATACATGAAACATATGCATACGACTCGATTTCCAGTTACTCTTTCAACAAACCATGAATGACAATGCCCCAAATTAACTAGATTGCACCAATTAATTATCAGATTTCCCTAGATTCATTGAATTGAATGGAATACGCATTACAACCAAATTATTCTTATCAAGGACCCTAACTATGGAATACGCATGATAGAGACACATATCAAAGATCATTAAGTTCAATGGAAATCATAAGCATTGACGAGGCATTCATAACTATGGAATACGCATGTTACTCTTGCCAAGGATTTACTTAACACAATCGTGACTATCGACTTTTACTACTTATGAATATAAGTTAATAACGATTAGGTGAAATTCCCTTATACTCTAGCATCAAATTCATGCATGCAAACTAAGTGTCGACCCTCAATCAACATACATAAACATGTTATCAATCAAATAGATAAGTAAACCACATTCACGATTTATGAAATCATAACTGGAGGAAATCAAGTCATATAAAACATATGATCATGGCTTTGAATTCCCCTCTAACTACAAAGAAATTAGTTCCTCATGTTCGCAAATAAACAAAGATAATTAAATTTAAACATTGACATAAAGATAGAAAACACCTAGAAACGCTCCAACAATCCAAGCTCCTTGAATGGCATGCACGGCTCCAAGAGTCTCCTTCCTTCTCCTTTACAAAC